AGTATTGAGCAGGAAAGAATAATCTGAACAGCACAAGGGAGGACAGCTTGGCAATAGGCGTGAGTAAGTGCAATCAAGGAAAGGTAATGCTACGGTTGAGCATTACGAGAAGCCAGCACACACTCCACTCTCCCATGGGTAGATCTGGTCACTTAGTGTGGCTAATAGTCTGGACTGGGGTAGTAACCTGAGCCTGCTGTTTCTCCTGCCTCATCTTCTGCTCTTGTGACTATTTATAAAAATACACATATGCAAGATAACGTTCAAACCCTCCCACAGTCATGAAAATCCCTTTTTGAACGCTTGCTTTATCCTTTTTAATTAATACCAAAGGCAATTAAGTCGTGGCGTGCTCCCATTACCTGCCAAGTTTAGTTATTTATAAAATATAAGAACAGGGTTTCAGATTGTATTATTTTGTTCACACGCAGCCTCTGAAAAACAGTTTCTTTGGTTTCCCCATGTACAAACTTGCAACAAAGCTGGGGGAGGGGCCGATTTGACATGACTTTTTATTGTTACTTGGTTTTTTTATTTTTTTTTTCTTGCTAGGACTCTTCTGTTCCGGTTTTTGTTTGTTTGTTTTTTATCAATTAATTTTTCATTTATTTTAGATAAATAAATAGCTTTCCTTCACTCTTCTCCTCATTCCCCCAGACACACACTCCTCTGTTCCAAAAGGGGCAGACTTCCCATGGGTGTCAACAAAGCATGGCACATCAAGTTGAGGCAGGACCAAGATCCCCCTCCCCACCCCACATCAAGGCTGGTTAAGACAACCCAGCATGGGGGATAGGTTCCCAAAAGCTAGTTCAAGAGCCAGGGCAGGTTCTGATCCCACTGCTAGGAACCCCACAAACAGACCAAGCTACACAACTGTCACACACATGCAGAGGGTCTAGGTCAGTCCCATGCAGGTTCCACTAGGACTTCTAAGGAGTAGGAATCTGCCCTTTACCTGAAGCCTTCTCAGAGGGAGCAAGAAAAGGGTCTAAGAGATGTGCATGAATGCCAAGTAACTATCACATTGCAAAGCACACATGAACCTGCCCCGTTAGGCATCCCTTCCTTTCGGACATTGAGGAGCCTAATAGGAATGTGTGGATTCTTGGAAAATATTCCATTCACTTTGCTAAGAGACTTAGCAACTTAAACCACAGAATGGGAGGAATGTACTATTGATTCTGGACAAGCTCATGTTATCACCAGTAGAATCCCCCAAACCTGCTGTAACAAAGTAGCCAAACAAAACTTGGTGCTACCCAGATGCCAGGTAGGGAGAGACCTAACTACTGAACATCTACTCCAGTTTTTAGAATTGTCAAGCACTATCTAAAGTGTGAGTGTGTGTGTGCAAGAGAGAGAGACAGAGAACAGGTATGTACTCGTGTGCACACACATGTGCCGACCAGAGATACCATGTGCCTTCTTCTATTGATTTCCACCTCACTCTCTTGAGACAGGGTCTCTCATTGAACCAGCTGACCACCTCAGCTTGGCAGGCTGACCAGAGAATCCCAGCACCCACCTGTCTCCATCCCCCAGGGCTAGCATTACAGGCTCACACAGCCACGCCCAACTTTTGATGAGTTCTGAGGATTCAAACTCAGATCCTCATGCTTGCAAGTGCTCATACCCACTGAACATCTCTCTAGCCCGTCAGAAATTATGTTTTTTTTTTTTACAAGGAAAAGGTCTGGTGTTCAATGACTAGCATTCAGGGGAGAGGCCACAACATTCGTAGGTAAAAAACTAACCAGCATCCCTTTAAGAAAAGAAAAGAAAATCAACTTTGACAAGTTGACATTTGTCACAAATACTTGAATAAGTGCCTCCATTACACACAGTCCCTGGGATATGTGCTCTGAGGGGCACACAACAGTATAAACCAATCATTACCTCCAGAAATTTACAGTTTGTTGGAGATATGAGACAATTGCATGTGAAAGGAACAACAGCAACAAACAAGGAGACCACTGCAGCAAACTCTTGAACACCTGTGTGTTGTGGAGACCAGGCTCATCTATCCTAGTGACTGAGAATAGAGCCACAAGCACAAGGGAATGAGAGAAGGGGCACTTTCTCACATGGAGTCCAAGTCCACAGCTGCTCTGCTCCTGTAAGAGAATGCAATCATCCACTCACTCCGTCTACACCCTAGCGTCAAGATGCCCCCCAAGAGAAGGAGTGAAGGTACCTACCACCTTGGGAAGAATAGGAAGATTAGAAAAGAAGTGTGGTCAGGTGCTGGAGGTGCGTACCTTTAATCCCAGCACTCAGGAGGCAGACGGATTTCTGTGACTTAGAAACCAGCCTGGTCTGCAGAGTGAGTTCAGCCTAGAAATTTTTCTTCCTCCCTCTGTCCTGCCCAAATGACCACTTGTCCTTTGAAATTAGCTTCTGTCACTCTCCCCCTCATCCAGAGCCTCCTGGGTTCCTACTTCCTCTACTCCTAACCCTCAGAGGCCATTGAAGTGGGGTATAATCTGTTGTGAAGTACAGAGAGCTGAACTCCAACACCCCCAGTGTCTTCCAGATGCTAGACCACTTCTGCAGCATTTTCCCAGATACTCATCAAGTCTATGCTGGGATGGGTACCTTCCTACCACAACAACAAGCTATTCCATTGTGGCACAGAACCAAGCACTGGGAAGGCCTCCTTTACTTGGATCTTCACGATACTCCTCTAAGTTGCTCCTAATTTTAACATTTTTTTTTCCTTTTGGGGAACACAATTCTATTAAAAAACAGTAAAATTCACAAAAGAACACAGATTTCCAAAGCAAAAGAAATATGGATTGAGAGTGGAAACTGGATTGTTACACTGTCATTTAAACACAGTTACCTGTTATGGAATATTAGTTTAAGATGTGTGTTATATTTGTTTATGCTGTGAAATATTTGTTTAATGATGCGAAGATGTGTTGCATTCTTTTATGTTGTATTTGTTCAACTCTGTGAAGTTGTGTTACTTTGTTACACCCGATGGTCTGATTAAAAAGCCGAATGGCCAATAGCTAGGCAGGAGAAAGAAACAGGCAAGGTTGGCAGGCAGAGAGAATAAATAGGAGAAGTTTGGGTTTGTGGAAAGAACAAGAGGGAGAAGTAAGAAAATGAGGCAAGAACAACAGGGACAGCCAGGGAGTGAGAAGGAAAGCAAGATACATAGAATAAAGAAAGGGGAAAAGCCCAGGCAAAATATAATTAAAGGGAAATGGGATAAGTTAGAGAATCTGACTAGAAACAAGGCTGAGCATCCTAAGTAATAATAGGACCCCATGTGTTTATTTGAGAACTGGATGATGAGCCTGCAGAGTTTAAAAAAAAAATTACAGGTACCTTTGACTGAAATGTGTCTTTCCTTTATTAAAAATAGATTTTTTTTCATACAGTATATTCTGATTACAGTTTCCCCTCCCGATCCTTCCTCTCCTCTCCCACCCACACCCCTTCTGTCTCTCCTTAGAGAACAAACAGGCATGTAAGGAATAACAGTAAAATAAATAAGGCATACATATTCACACATAGGAACCCCATAAAAACACAAACCCAGAAGCCATAACATATACACAAAGGACCTGTAAAGTTTAAAAAAAAAAAAAGCCCTAAGACAACATTATGAAGCAAAGAACCTCAAAGAGGTTGTTGAATTTATTTTGTGTTGGCCCTCGACTATTTGGCATGAAACCTACCCTTAAGAGTGGTTTGCTTCCCTATTGAAACTCCCTTGAAGGAAACTAATTTTTTATTTGCAAGAGGTTATCAATCAGAGCTAGCTTCTGGGTTAAGGGTGGGCCCTGTGTCCACGTCTCCTCTACATTCTAGGGCCTGTGTGGGTCCTGCGCCTGTTGTAACCACAGTCTCTGTAAGTTCATGTGTGCACATCGGTTGTGCTGTGTTTGGAAGGTCTTGTTTGCTTGGTGTCTTCTATCCCTCTGGCTCTTACATTCTTCCTGCCTCCTCTTGGGGCAGGAGCTGGAATATGAGGATCAACTGGGGAGCAGGGAGAAAGGATAGTAAGGGAGGGAACATGGGGAGAGACAGCTAAAAATCAGGACCATCTGAGGGGTAGGATGGAAATATAATACAGTTGACACTTCCTAAAGCATATCCATATATGGAGCCTATATAAATGAAATCACCAAATAACAGAGGAGACAGAGCCCCAGGTGGACATCTCTCATCACAAAATGAAGCTTCCAGTACTAGGAATATGTTACATCTAATCAAGTTGTTGGCCAAAGGCATCCTATGGGAATCCCCAAACAACCCTGGTTATTGTTAAGGCTATTGGCTGCTCTCTGCAAACTGACAGTAAAGTCCTGCTACAGAAGACAGCACCTGCACAACTCACTGAACACAGAGAAGCTGAAGAAGACATTGGTGGGAGTAATCAACCAATATCTGAATTGACTTAAGGCCCACTCCACAAAATGGAATCCATACTGGACACTGCTTGAGTGGCCAAGAACCAGAGACTAGATGGCCCAGGGACCTAGGGTAAAACCAAATGCTACTGTTCTACTAAAAATATATAGCAATAAATTAATGCCTAATGAGATTCTGCTATGCTCATAAACGAGTGCTTTGCTCAGTCATCATCAGAGAAGCCTCCTGCAGCAGATGAGAACAAATACAGAGACTCACAGCCAGACAGTGTGCAGAGGGTGAGAGACCTTGGAACTCTCAAGCCTAAATGAGATGCTTCCACCAAATACCAAGGTGGAAAAAAATTTCAACTTTTAAGTCCGTGTCTATCCAGCTTGGTATTTAAATAGAGTGTCCCTGCCCTCTGAGTCCTCTCCTGCAAGAGCAGCATCTATCACCCACGGCATATGTCACACGTCACACACTTCCCAGTTGTTCTTGTCCCCATGCACTCTGTAAAAGTTTCAAGATAACAATGCGTCTACATCTCCCTGGACTGGTAACTTTGTCTCTTTGCTGTTACCAAACACATGACAAAAAAAAAAAAAAAAAAAAAAAAAAAAAAAAAAAAAAAAAAAAAAAAAAAAAAAAAAAAAAAAAAAAAAAAACCCACAAACTAAGGAAGAAGGGTGTATGTTCGTCTCATTTGTAGATAGAGTTCATCGGGAAACAGAAAGAGATGGATGCCGGTGTTCAGCGGGCTCCTTCCTTCTCCCTGCTTTTCATTTGGGTTGGTGCTCTGATCCATGAGATCGCAATGCCCGCATTCAGGGCTGGGCTTCTCTTTTCAGTTAACCATCTCTGGAGACGCGCTCACAGAAGTATGTCTCCTAGGTGATTCCAAAACCTGTCAAATTGACAGTGAAGATTAACTGTTAGACTACCTGAAATGCTTATCTTTAAAAATAAATAGAACACTCTAGACCTCAACTGGTCATTGTAAAACAGAATGGAAACTCAGGTCCTCTTTTATTAGTAAGGCTGCATTCAACTCTGTGTTGGGGCCACATGGCACAGCGTGTTCTTCCTGTACCCAAAAAGACTTCTGCTGTAAGAGCTTCCCACCTGCTGATGGAATAATTGATTTGTATTTTTTATACCTCCCTCACATAGCTGGGATTTATCCAGAAACCGCGTAAGAAAGTGACATCTCTCAATGCTTGCTCTCCATCCTTTCTACTTGAGCCCCAATTACCGATTTAAATGACTGTTTCAACAGTCTAGAAAAAGAAACACTGTTCCCAACCAAGAAATCTCCCTGGAAAGATGTCTAGGATGTCAGTATGGAGCTCTGTGATGTGGGAGCACAGGCTGCCATAGCCCCACAAAGGACCCTACTTCCAACCTACTTCCTTCTTTCTTGTCCCTAACCCAATCCCCAGGCGCTAATAAACTCTCCGGTAAGTACAAAAACAGAGTGACCCACATTCAGACATTCATCTCAGTCTGTAAAACTCTAACAGCTCTGGCCATGCCCTGCTAATCATGAAATTGTTAGTGAATGAGTGAGCGAACAACCCCTGAGCTCTGCAACCGTCCCGGTGTCTAGAATCAGATCTGGGAAAGAAAGGTGTTCTGTCTCTAATTTAACACATTGATTCAGTGGTTATGGTCCTAAAATTTGATTGCATGCATTTGTTTAAAGGTGTTCTGTCTATAATTTAACATATTGACTCGGTGGTTATGGTCCTAAAATTTGATTGCCTGCATTTGTTTTAAGAACCAATTTTATAATGTGCTAGAAAAATAAAATGCAAGCATAAAGCTTATTTTTAAATCTTATTACTGTCAAAAGCAAATCTTTAAAATAAGCTCAGCTGGTAGAAGAGAGGAGGGAAAGAAACAGAAAACATGGGTCAAAAACCTTCATCTCTTTACTGCAAAAAAAAACCCCACTCTTTTTCTCATTTGTTGCAGGAGGTCCACATACCTGCACCTAGGTGTATGATGGGTCCTTTGTCCATCCGGTCACAACCTGAAGTCCAGGTTCTTCTACGGTTTGGTCAGCCTGTGGACTGGCGATGTTATTCAGGGAAGATCTTTACCTCTTCTTCAGCTCATTCCATGTTTATCTTCCAAAAAATTCTCCACCAAATGTCTTCTAAAAAGTCTTCTCTCATTAACATCAATCCACAGCCATCATTTGTCTTTCCCTAAAGCACTCAGACAATCTATAAAAGAGTAGGTTGGTCGTCTTGTATTTTTCTCCAAAAAAAAAAGTTATGAAAATTTGCTTTCACACTGTAAGATATTACCAACATAACAAATTGTTATGCTTATTTTTAAACTCGCCTTTGTCTTGCTTTCCCAAAGACGTCATAAGCTCCAAAGAACGACAAGATCGATAGGTAGTCTTCACTTATTTTGAATTTCTTTAAAATGCCAAGTGTGACAGTGAAACAAACAGGTGTTAGGTGGATAAATGAATGAATAAAGGGTTGCAGCACATTGTCAGCAAGGGGGGAGCTGTCCGAGGTTCTGATGCTGAGGATAACGATAAGATTCGGCACAACAAACCAAGCAAATAACTTAAAACCTCCTGACCCTCAAGCCTGAGAGAGCTCATTTCCTGGCTACCATAAACGTCATTCAAGAACACCCACACCTATACTTAGCATGGTGTGTGTCCCTAGTGCAAGCTTCATAAACTCTGGGCCGTGACCACATATGGGGCCACATCACTGAATGGAGGTGTCAAAAGAAACTTGGCAGCGGTAAAAGGTTCTGAGCACACAATAATCAATCATGAATTCAAAACCAAACACAGAATGAATGCAAACTGCTCTAGCAGTGATCGCCTGCATTGCATCTCGCCACTTCACTGCATCCTTGGTTCTAAACACACAGCATGTACTTGCACATGCAGTCATGCCATGCAGTGCTAACGGCTGCCTGAATAGATAATTCTGTTATTAACCGCAGTGTTTTCACTGTCCACACACACAGTTTTCTGCTCTTATAGGGACAGAATGGTTTAATTACAGGGAGAGGAGACCTTTAATATTTTCCTACCATCATATTTCACCATATAAATATCTTTGGAGTTGATTGTGTTAATGTGTTTGATTTTGAAAGCTACTATTTGAGTTGCTGACTAGAGTTTCATAAATAATTGCCAAGTGAATTTTGATTTAGGATTAGGACAGAATTGTCTTCAAATTTTTCTGAATTTGGCCCAAACATACTTCTGCCATTTGTAGTACAAATTTATGCAAAGCAGTATTCTAAGTATTAATGATTATAAAATTAAATATCCATCAACTCTGAAAAATATTGATAACTGTCCTGCAGTATCAAATATTCAACCACAATTTAATTCATATGTAAAATAAACATATCCAACTCATGAGTATGCAATTTTCTCTTTACTAAGCAGTCAAATTAAATGTATACCAAATAATTGAATGTTGTTGGGTTTCTTTTTTTGTTTTGCTTTGGGTTTTTTGTTGTTGTTGTTGTTGTTGTCCTTTGTTTGTTTTTTTGTCAAGAGGCATACCATGGCATTTGTGTGATAGTCATAGGACAAGCTGTGGGGATCAGCTCCCTCTCCTCATGCACATCCCAGGGATCAGCTCCCTGTCCACCAGGCAGGCACATTCTAGGATCAGGCCCAGCCACAAATATCTTCAACAGTAGAGCCATCCAGACAGCCCTGAGAATTGCTTTAAAATAAATTTCTGTGGCAAGAGAAATGGCTCAGAAGTTAAAGTCCTTGATGCTCTTCTAGAGGACCTGGGCTTGGTTCCCAGCACCCACATCGTGACTCCCAACAATCTCTAACTCCAGTTCCAAGGGATCCAATGCCCTCCTCTGGCTTCTGCAGACACTGGGCACACATATACATGTATGTGAAACAACCAGCCCACTTTTTTATTTTAAAAACAAAATAAATTGTGTATGCCTGTGTTTTCATGTGTGTAGGTGCACATGGGCGGATGCATTTGCATATGTGTGTGCATGTGTGTGGAATCCAGGGGTCAACCTGGATATATACTGCCCACCTTTTTTTTCTTTTTAATGTGTATAGTGGGTCTGTTTGCCTGCTTGTATGTCTGTGCACCGTGTGCATGTCTGATGCTTGCAGAGGCCAAAAGACAACATCAGGTCCCCTAGAATTGGAGTTGCAGACAGTCAGCTGCCATATGGGTGTTTGTGAATCAAACCTGGGTCCTTTGGAAGAACAACCAGTGCTCTTAACAGCTAAACCATCTCCCCAGTCTCTGTCCACCTTATTTTTGAAACAGGATATTTTATTGACCTAGAACTTACTGATAAGACTTAACTGTCTGGCTGCGAGGCCCAGTGCTCCACCAGTGCCCACCTCCCCAAGCACTAGGCTTACAACCACAAGCCACCATGACTGGCAGTTAATATCAGGTTTCCATACTTTCAAATCAAGCACTTTACTATTTCCTCATTCATAAAGTAAATGTCTTCACGACTTATTATCAACAAATGTTTGACTGGCATATATATATATTTTATATATCTAGAATGGTGCAAACGTTTCTCAGGAAAAGGGAGGTCCCAAGTGGAAAAGGTTTAAGAAGTCCTGACCTCAATTATGACTTCATCATATTAAAGCCTAGTTCAGAAGTTCATTAGTAAGGGCTTTCTGCTACATGCAGTAATTCTCAAATTTAGGGGTGACAAGGGAAAAATGAAACTTTCATTTTGACACTAAAACCTATCTTACAGGAATAGTTACACACCAGTTTCAAAACATCACTGAGTGATGAAGGTATTGGACCTGTGTTGGGGATTTAACTGTCCCCTCCATGTCTGCACTGAAAACCTAGTACCCTTTGTCGCAACATTTGGAGACGTGATCTTTGGGCAGTAATCTTGTTTACATGAGGACATGAGGATAGGAATATCATGATGAGGATAAGGCCCCAACCAAAGAAGTCACAGGACAGAATTCTTCTCCTCTAGGCCACTCCACCCCCACAAAGCAAAGATATAATAAACATGGTCCTCCACAATCCAGGAAGCAATCTGTCACCAGAACCCAGACATGCCCTTTCCCGAATCTCACACTTCCAGCCTCTAGAACTGTGAGAAAATAAATCTCTGCTGTTTGAGCACCCAGTCTGTGGGAGTTTGCTATGGAATCTCAAACAGACTAAGACAATGTGTCTGATCCTATTAACTGCGTAGAAGCAGAGCATGCATACATCGGGTCGTTTAAGCTCGAACACACATGCTAATGAACATTCTTCTAAACTGCAGCTTCTATCTAGGAGCAAAGAGTCGCTGCAGGAATTGCACTTCCCACATAAACAAAACCTAAATAAAACAGATTAAAGGACATTTTCAGAGACTGGGCTACACACAGGACAGGATTACATCCCCTAAGGAAAAGGAGATGACGGTAAATTCCATGTTTACTCTCACTATCTGCCTGGAGGAGGCAGTGTCCCGATTGTAGCACAAGAAACCTTCCACGTGAACACCAGGAACTTGTGAAGTTAAGGAGACAGAGACTGGGGTTTGACAACAGTATGGTAGCTAAGACACTGAATGCAGAATGCTGAAGAGATGTGTACTATATGAATAAAAGGCCCCAGAAATACTGATGAAATCCTCTCAAATCTTTTTGTAAATGCTGTGTACCTATATAGGGTAAAGTCCCATGGTGCTTGGAGATCACAATTAACAGAATTCTATCAGCCAAGAAATTCTCAGAGAAAACAGGTCTGGAAATTACTTGGGATCCCATCAATCAAATCCATCATACCTCAAAGTTCACAGAACATTCCTTAGAGATCAGAAGTGCCGAAGCTTAGTATTATGACAAGTAAGCCCTAGAATAAAATATACTCCAGGCTTACCCTGAGAAAGACTGTGAGACAAACCTCAAAGCCAATCTGAACTCCAAGGAATGCAACTGCTCGTCAAAGACACTGAACACTCTTCAAAGGGAGAGAACACAGTCAAACGCTTAGCAAAGTAAATTCAAAGTGTTTCGCTTTCAATAAAAAAATAATTGTTAAGGATGCAAAGAGCTGGAAAAGCATAATCCAAAATCCAAAACCACAAAGAGAATCAGTCAAAGGATATGGACCTAGAAATGATATAATTAAGGTAGAATCTGCAAACTGAAAAATAATAAATTACAAATACTATAAATTAATTCCAATTTACCTATGAAGGATTTAATCCATGACCTCCCCACCCCCAGAATGTCTGCAAACCACGGAGAATAATGAACCCTATGTAATTCTGTGTCTCTTTTGCATATACATGCCAATGATACTGTTTGATATTTTAATTAGATACATGAAGAAGTAATAAGCAGAACATTGCATTAATATAACGAAAGATATTTAAATGTTATGAATTTTCTTAAATTTTCCATGCAATATTTTGGATGATGATGATTGAAACTAGAAAAAGTAAGTGATATGCAGCTGCCGAGCGAGGAAGACAATCAATAGTCCTCCCCACCTGTGACGCCAAGGAACCACAATAATGGCCAGCATAGCAAGAGAGCCCTACAGGTACCTTAGTGGCACCTATATCTTGGCAGCTCCAAAAGCTATCTAACTGAACAGAAGAACCATTCAACTGGAAAGAAATCATGCCTGGTACTATAAACCTATGCAACTCCTCTTAGCTAGTGAGGTCGTGGACCCTAGAGGACCTACTCCCGCCACTTTCCTACACCAGCATATTCCTACCTGCGTTCTAAATCTCTATACCTACAGATAAGTGGAGCTCTCCGACCCCAGCAAAGAAGGTTTTCTTTTCAAATCGAATTTCAATTAGGAAGAGTCAAACTGTTTTATAAAATACCCAATCTGAAAAGGGTAAAAAAAAAAATGTGAACAGAGAACAGATGGAAACAATTCTGAATAGAAAACAAACAGGAAGATGGCAGATTTAAAACCAGTTCTATCAATAATTACATTAAGATCAAATTGTCTGAAACAGACCAGTTAAAAGGCAGAGATGGCCAGACAAGTCAAAATAGCAGCGCCTAAGAGTATATGCTGCCTATTACGGACCAAATCGCAAATCAGTCCAAACTAAAGAGGCCCAAAAATGAATGTGGAGAAAAAACAAATCAGAACACACCTGGAATGCTTATGTTTGTGTCAGAAGAAGGAATATTTCCAAAGACAAATAGGCATATTTCATGATGATGAAAGATGTCATCCTCAACAAC